TCGTTTTAGTTGATAGGATGTTCCTTTTTGAAAAACGTCTATTTTTTTTTTTTCCCCCCTAAGATACTCCTTGTTCTGTCAGCCAGCTTCAGCAACTGAAACAGTTCTCCTGGCAGGACATCCTGCAGAGCCATCAGAGCAATGGCAGAATGAGCCAGCGTCTACCCTGAGTGTTTTGTTACCACCGGAAGAGTTAACTAAACTCTGTAAGTATGAACTGATCTGATGATCTGTATGCAAGGAAATACACAAGCATAAATCAGCAGTGGCAGAAAAAGTCATTAACTGTAAGTTTTTCCTTTTCGTTTTAAAATGAGCAAATTTGACAATGAAGCCACAAAGATAAGCAGTCCGCTCTAGTCCAATTTCCAGCTTTTCTGAAGTAGAGAACAATACACAGTCACTTAGAATTTCCTCAGTTGTTAGTACTGACATTGCCACTGAGAAGATCTTCATCTAGAATTAGAAATCCCATGCACTGGACAGTGCATGGACTATTGTAAGCAACACACCTTTTGTGGCCAATATCATACAGTACTTTTCCAGATTTCTTTTTTCTTTTTTTTATTTCTCACAGCTGTGAGCAGCACCAGGGAGCCCGACAGCCAAAATTTCACCTGTAAGCTACTGACTAGAATCCACCTTTTTTCATAGGCTTGTCAGAAAGAATGGGATTCTGAAGTCTAGCTTCTTTTCCTAACTCTGATACAAACTGGTCACTTAGACCTTCTGTACCTCTGCTTCCCTCTTTGCACCATAAAGATAATATTTATTTTACTCTTTTACACTATGGGAATACAACTATTTGATCATGGAACACTTGGGAAAGTGTTGAGTTGTTACTTAAAATACAACATTAAATCATTATTTGCAAAGAGTCAGTTTCTGGCTTCTCAGTTGCGATCACATGCTCGGTGGTGTGCAGCTGGACCGGTGTGAAAGCTGCATGCCCCAGCTGCTTGCCACCAGTGGCTTAACTGCTCTCCAGCCCTTTCTTCCCCAGATGAGCAGAGCTAACTTGCACACGCCTAACGGGAGCATTTTCCTAACCTGGCCTGTTTGGAAAGCGCCTGGCTAGGGAGCAATTAAGCTCACAGCTACACTGGTGAAGACGGGTAAAGTATTCTGCTGTGGGGAATGGAGGAGGATGTCTGGCAAAGTAACGCCCTTGCTCAGCTCTGCTGGAACCCAAACAGAGCTGGAGGCTTAATCACATGGAGGCGAAAGAAACCGCATCAAAATCATAAGAGTAACAAAGCACGTTTCTTTCCGAGGAGCAGGTGCAGAACGTGACCCAAACCAGCCTACTGTTGTTGACAAAATAACTCCCTGCTGTGTAAAGAAAGTTGTATCTGGGTCCTCCCAAAGAGAACAGCCTATGGTTTCATCAACAGTTCTGCGCTAAGTATATCAAATTGGGTCCTCACGATAGGTACCAGATAAGCAAGGCTAGTAAGTGCTCTACGTGGCCACAGAAGAGACACAGTCTGGAAAGTGTTTCCCTTTGCAGAAAGTTTCTTTGGGATTACACTCACAAATGAGGAAACATGTCCTCCTCTAAAACATTCAGCCCGTAAGCTCTCTGATGAGACTGCTGAGCTAAAGTCACTCACTGCTACTTCAGAGACAGGTAACTATTCACCAGAATATTGATTTATCGCACGCAGGCCACTTGCTAGGACTAATTATCTTTTGGCGATTGCTAGCCAGGCTCTGACTGCCCCACTGTGAAAGTCAGTATAGCACATTACCCTGCCCTCAGCCACTCCATGGGCTTATAGGTTCCTTTGCTTCCTGTTCTCCATTAATGCACCCACTGAAAGATAATCTTGATACTGTGTTTTTCTCTGTCCAAGTTGCTTTTCAGTTTGCTTTTTAGAAGCACTGTTGGTGAAAACAGGAGTATTACAAATAATCTGAGCCATCTTGTAGACTAGTACCCAACTAAACGGTTCTTGGCTGTGTCTCATTTCCCCTTGAATTATTCTTAAGGGGAGAAAACTGGGAGGCTCTTCTCAAAAGAAAGGTCCTATTACGGCTTTTTAAAAAAATAAGATGTAGAAATATTGCAAAATAAAATATTTTGATGGACATATCTACCCTAAGATTATTTTTACAGAACTATTCTATTCAAGGAAATTGGTAAAATATTTTAAAATGTTGAATATGATTCAGGGCAAATTCAGCACTGATTAATCTGTCACAGCTTCCCATGGTGTGATTTTTTTTTAATGAAATTCTCTTTCTTTTATTAGTTTTGTAAATCTTTGTTGCTATGGATAATTGCTGATCTCTAATCAGAACTAAATATTCTGGAAATCTGTGATGACCATTATGTTAGAGATAAACAAGCTAGTTTACTGGCATATACCTAATGACAACATTACAGCATATTTGTATGTTTGATAAACAATTTGTATGTATGAATGCATGGTAAATTTAGCAGCACTTGAATAAACCAGATTATAACTTACACAGGTCTGCACAGATAAGGAAGAGTAACTCTGCTTCCAGGCTTGAGAGTGACACATCCCTGAATGTACTATATGACAGCAACAGTCTAGTGATATTTTGGGTAACCTTTGATACTTCACATATTTGGTTCTTTCACAGTAAGACAATACGATTTCCTCTGAACCTTTATGTGTAGGAGAAGCTAAATTCAAAAATCCCAAATAAATCTGTGAAGTGTGCCGGTTTCATAAGGATCAATTTCATGAAAGAGCTTGTGCTTGAAGGTTACAGTAGCTATAGTTTTCAGTAGTGTGCACTCTTACTGTATTAGGGTCTATTATAATACTATCTAATTCAAATTTTCCCTGCATGCTGTTTGTTTCATTTTTTTTTTTTTAAAAAAAAAGAAGGGTTGTAGTATAAGATTTCTCCAAATACATGCCTTATTGATAGTTTTCTAATTTTTTAATAAACCAAGTTTCCTAGTTTTAATGCAAAAAAAAGCATAGAGCTAAACTAACAGATAGGTTTTCCTACTATGTTAGATGTCTTCATTTACCCACTAACACAATCCACAGCCAAGCACTAACCAAGTCAATATGTGGTAAGACTTTAACAGCTGCCCTTAACTTTCCTTGATAATTATTTTCCTTTAACTGACATAATATTCAATATATTGTTGTTGAATGCAATAATAGTAAAAATCATGCCTTGAGGGCTATACTGTGATTGAGTTTAGCCAGATAATCTAAACTCCAGCCTAATGGTGTAGTATAGGGCTTTACACCATTCAGATGCGTGCATAAACCTCTATGTAATTATATGACAAACCATTCTTGCATATATTAATATAATTCCATAAGATAATGAAAACAAAATCAATATGGGCCTGATTTGACAATCTGTGTACAAGGAAACTACTGATTTCAGTCAGTCTGCTTGTCCATAAGGGATACTGAATTGCATTCTAGGCATGTAATAGTTATCTCTAATTATTCATGGCATTTAACAAATGTCATTATATCTTGGAAAAGATGCATTTTACAGGGTATCTTTTATGAATCATATTCTTCCAGCCCTGACAGTCAGTGGCATTTAGAATCCAGGAATATAAAATATGGTGCAATAAGTACATACTGCCATTAAAAATATGTATCTCTGTAAATATCCATCTTATTCATCTATAGATATACATCTATTGATATATATCTATGCATGTAGATCAAGTACTATGTATAAATATCTATATATATCTACGAGTTGTAGATTGGTAATAGAAAAGATTGATTCTTTTATATGTGAACACATGTATCATTTTCCTTTTACAAAACAGATGCTAATTCTTTCTTTTAGAAAGAATTCTAAAATACTCTAAGCATTACATTTGTACCCATCATTTGTACACAAGAATAATGGTCTCATCATAAGAGTAATAACTTGCTTATTACCCTTCCTCTAAGAGTGTTTGACAATTCAGGGAATCTTCTGGGAAGATCTGGATATCCAGAATATTTGTAAATGTTTAAGAATATGGAATGTAAAGTTACATATGTAAAACTAATTTACTGCTTTCATGTTAAGGATGGAGAATTGAAGGGTAATTCAAGAATAGTATTCAGAATTGCCCGTGTCAGGAATAAATACTCCTGTATTTTCTGTGCAATGTTAAGTAAGTTGTTTTTGCCTTAGAAAATAACAAAATAAATTTTAAAAACTTTCTCTTAAATTTGGAAATTCCACTTCCTGGCATGTCCACCTGAATAACTGAATGACTTCTGAAAGGTGCTGAGCTCGCACAAAGTAAGTGGCAATTTACAGCACTCACAATCATGTAGTATTAGATTCTCAATCAGAAGGAGCCTGGTGAACATGAAATGGAATAAATAACTTCAGACCCTAACAGATGATGTATTTTTTTGCAGATAAGCAGCTATAAATATGCATGGCAATATTAATGATTAAAGCAAGCCTATTTGTTTTCTCTGTTTAATTATTTTAGGTTTTGTTAGCTTACTTTAACTAAGCCACATGCTAAGCTTTATTTATAGCTACCTTTTTAAAATGACCTTTTAAAAAGATTTTTGATATTTTACATTATCAGGATGCTTCCAAATACAACCACTACCACAACTTTCTGATATCTATCCCGTGTTAGGTGTCAGTTTAAAGAAGAAAAGAAAGCTGAAGGAGCTGCTGACTCAAATCCTAGTTTATGAAGTCAGAGAGTAGTCATTGAAAACATGCCAGCTGCCTTCATGACTAAGGCAGGGTTGCAGCTAGCTAACCTAAGTATTTGCAGTATTTGTGGTATTTCCTACAATAAGGGTAAGCAAGTACAAAGGAACACTATGGTACTGAGGAACCTGCGTTTTTTGGCTTAGGTAAAAATGGCACATTTTGCCAACACCATCACTGGCCTTCTATATGACACACTCAATTTACCTCACAGCCTTCTATCTGTGTGGGGGCCCAGTAACTAGCTGTGCAGGAAAAAAGAAAAATATGTCAGTTAACGGCTTGGCAACATGCTTCGCTGTACTTCCTACCTGAAGGATGTAGCCCCGGACATAGTCCCGCAGAGTCCAGCCTAAGCCATGTAGAATATGCAACACCTCCTCCTGCTTCAGCACACTGAAAAGTCGGTCAAGTAGTATCTTCAGTCTCACAGGCACGGCCTGGGTACCGTAGAGCATCAGGCTGCTGATGTCAAACACGACGTTGGACTGCACAATCTCCACTTGGGTTGGGTGGTAGAGGTGCTGAGTACTAAGCTTGTCCAAGGCTGAAAAGAGAAAGGGCTAAGAGTAAGATAAGTGCTAAAGGAAAGGCAAGAGAAAAGCATAGAATTATCTAAGCACATCCAGTTTGGGGTACACTGTTTTCTGTAGAAGTATCTGTAGACCGATCCAATTCTTTATCACATAGGCACTCCAACCCAGGCCTAGTTTGCAAAGGTTATGATTGACTTCAACTCCTAGGGTATAGTGGCACCCACTTGAACACAAATGATGACATTCATAACTCGAAAGAAATTCTCGAAAATTTATGAATGAATTCTTCATGATCATAACTGCAGTCATGCAAAATTAACTGAAACTGTTGAAAGTTTGAGAGTTAACCTCTAAGGGAGAAAACAAACAAACAAACAAAAATCCCAAAACCCAACTTTTGAAACATCCTAAAAACTAGTTCTGTAAGATAGCATAAAGCCAATCATGCTGCTACTTGAACTGCTTGGTAAGTAATACACTTTGGTTCAGTTTACCCTTCTGTGTGAATTTTACATTATTCACTGTGACATGAATAACCTAAAGAGATGAAGGGAGGGAAGGTTCACTGAATGCTGGTAATTCTTATCCCCCTGTGAAGTTAAATATGATGGAATTATATATGGCATCACACACTTTACTGAATATCAATGTTTACATTTAATTTCCTCTCCATTTTATGGAGCATGTTGCAGTACCTACACTTCTGCCTTTTTTTTTTTTTTTAAACAGAACTTTCTGAACACTTAAAATAATCTTATAGGGACTTCTCCTCCTCTGCTTTGGTTTCTTCTTGGCTTATGGTCACTGGAGAGTTCATGTAGTCTTGATAAATTGCTTTCTTACATCCAGAGCGCAAAGGCCCTTATCATTTACTCGCTGGCTTCATTCAACACATTTACTCCAAGGAATACTTTGTCAAAGAGTTCTGGTTTCCTCATACTTCATTTCTTGCAACTGATTTGTCTGATCTTTCCTATTCTAGTGGTTAAGTCAACTTTGAATAAATAGCTTTAAATATTAATTTAACATTCACAAAAGATAAGGGATTGGCAAGCCTGGGGACTGCAGTCCTATGTCTCTCCACAAGACATTTATACTGAAGAATGTGAAGGGTGGGATTTTTCTTCCAAAAGCTCTTCCAAAGCATTTCAACTGCACAGGCTTTATGATGTGGGACTGATTTATTTACAAGATTTAATGAATGGGATTTGATTGAAGCCTACATAGTTCAAATACTTCCCTACAGTTTTTCCTCCCCCCCCCTCCTTTTATTTGCATGACATTGTTTGTTGCACGGTTATTTTGCTACTACTGTAGCAGATCTGTCTTAAAAGTGATCGGTTAGAAAAACTTAGAAAATCGATTCTGTAACTGTAGGTTTTGCTGGATGTGTCCTGAGATTATATGATTTTATATATGTGTGTGTGTATGTATTTATATCAGTGTATATATATGTGTGTGCATTTAAATATACATACACGAGGGTAGAGCAACTATTTGGAAAGAGTAAAATATTAGTACTTATACTACTACGACTACCAATAGAGAGAACACTGCTAATAATATAAATGTTAATAGCTGTAACATCTTCTACTCAAGCCTCTCAAAATAATTAAGCAGTGATTCTAATTTTATAATACCTTCTGGAGGGTGGCCTGGATCACGTCTAGCTTTACACTCTCCATTTTACAGAACAGAACTATGGCCAAAACAGGTTAACTGCCTTGGCAAAGATTACACAAATCCAGACCGCAGTAAAGACCTGAATGTATGTTTCCCATAACTCCATCTTGCTGTCTAACCACTGCATCATACTTTTAATATATTTAATATTCGTTACTCTTCACTTAACAGAAAATCCTATCTCCACATTATGGAGAAGCAAGATCTTTCAGCTAAGGAAGGTAACGTTGATTCCAATTTTTCCTGAGTCAAAGTGACTGAAAGATGCCCATATCAAAAGACGGGCTGAAAGGCCAAAGTGGAATAGAAAACAAAAAAGGTCCTTCTGAATGACTAAGCATACTTGTTGAACAGTAGACAAAATATTTTACAAGATGCCCTGTACATATCTTATTGATTTAACACATTTGTTTTCATCCCTGGGTTTCTCAGAACACAAGAACAATGAAGGAGGAGTCATTTACTGCATTAACACTGCCAGTGAAATTATCTCCAGTTTGGAGTTGAGGCATTAATCTGCAGATTAAATAATACACAAACAAAGGTAGTGAATTTTATTCCGTTAAAGTACAAGTCAGGATATGTCCTGAAATGTGTAATTTTCAATACAACAAAGCATGCATTTTTGCATGGGCTTGTACTAGAAAGTTTGCAAAATAAAAGACAGACCTCATGCTACAGGCAAAAATGAAAGGTACATGAAGAGGAAGGAGATGCATGTATGCCAATATGAGGAATGGTGGTATGCTAAATTTTCATGGATCATTGATTTTTTAAACCACTTGCACTTTCTGAACTGAACTTTTCACAATATTTCACAGTTTATAAAATATGATCTCGTTTCTTTAAAAAATTAGTCAATGGAGAAAAGTTGTTTTTGTAGTACTCCCAGCTGGTTTCTCCCCCTGCAATGAAGTAATGCCTATTCGTCTAACCTTCTGTTCTGGAGGTAGACACATGCTCCTTCAGATAAGAGACACTGAAAGGACCTTAGTCTCACTGGTCTTTCTGTAAGAAAAACAGCAAACCCTAAAGTCAACAATTATATTCTGTTGCCTTGAATTTCCTGCGTAATTTCATGTGGACTTGGCATTATTCACCATTTCCTGCCCTTACTGTTGCTTCAATTTCTGTACTTTGATGAACATTAGTGTATTTCACAGGTGAGTATGTTTCACATTTTCTGCAGTAGTTTATGATTTCATAAGTGCTTTGGAGACTTCAAGATGAAACTTGCTATATATAAGAATAAGCTTTATCATACCTGAAAAATGACATAAACAGATGTGTCCTTATTAAGAAGAAGCACTGATTGATCATTATTAACTACTTTTAAATCTGTTCCTAATGCAGTATGAGGTGTCTAACTCACAAGCCTTACAGTTTCAGAGGGCTCAAAACTTCACCCAGAAAAGTCTTAACATATGTGTGACTTTTTGGTTATAACCTGCACAGTCCTTTCAGAGAAATAACTGTGTTGGGTTCAGGTAGGTGCTCAGACTAGAAAAGCTTTCTCCCAACACCTCGAATCAATTCTTAGCTCTGCCCCCACAGTCTGGTACTCTTTACCTCAATTTGAGTTGAAAGCAGAGAGCGGACAAGAGGTCTCATGAATCATATCCTTTACACAGCATGGTAATCAAACGTATGTGGACTGGCCTTAAAAGGCCCTTCAGTTTTGCTATAGCAACATTATTTCTATAGTAAATTCTAAATTTCAATTACTAAATCTTGGCTTCAGGAATTTTAACAATAAAAAAGGGGGTGGAGGGAAAGAACAAAATGAAGAAGAAGAAGAAGAAGAGGAAGAAAAAGAGGAGTTGCAGAAATTTGTCTTCAACTCCTGGAAATAGGTAGGTAGACAATTCGCATAAGGATTAGGAACCTTTATCCTTGTTTTCTCCCATAACATTGAGATATCAAGCACACACTATAATTCCTGTATGGTCTGTATTCATCACAGATTTAATCAATGTTTTTGAGATTTCACTGGAATTATCTTAAGCCTTTTGTAATTTCAGGATGAAAACCTTTCTTTCTGCACTGAAATAATCAACTCCTTTTATTTTGTTGTTGCGGATGACAAAAGAGAGACACAAAAAAACCCACAATAACATTGGTTTTCATTGAGCTAACTCCTTTTGCAGCATCACATTTACATATTTTATGCCTGTATACACAATATAAAGGCTTACTCTCTATTCTTGAAGTTAAAGAACTGGACAGCAGTTGTTTACATATTGATCTCGACACACTGCTATGAACAGTTACATTTTGTCAAAAATTGTAATTAGAGAGATAGCTATCTAATTAAGGGTAAAAAAAAAAAAGGAAAAAGAACCTCACTTGGGGTTCTTGCACTTGGGCAAACATGCTTTCTTATCAATTGTGTGAACATGTACGGGTGAAGAAAAAGACTTCATAAGAAGTTCTGCAAGCCATGTACCTGCAAATGAGGGCTAGTTAAAGATCTTGCTAGTGTTTGGCATATTTTACCAACATGAATGGCAATCAAGGTACTCCAGATTTTATTGAGACTTTGCTCAGTATGATTTGAATTGTAAAGGGGCCACTTAATTGTTATCTAGCTTCACATTACAATATATCTCTTCACATTATACCGGTAGCAGAATGCAAAATTCTAGGCAAAGGTTTGTATTTATTTATAATAGATGAAATAAACAAATTTAATATTCCATTTGTTAAGTTTTTGAAGTGTAATAAAACAGGGAAGAGGGAAATTGGCTATGCTGTTTCCTTTTTACTCAGTTTTGGATCCCCTGCATTTTAAAGGAAATTGAGTACAAAAGGCCCACTAAAATGAGGCCAAATTATTTGTTCAGTCTCTTAAAAACAAAAACTAAAAAACAGAAAATGAAGAGAAAATTTCTTTTTATGCACAGTGTGCCCAGTTCATATGCTTAGCTATGCAAATGTCTTGAAACCCCTTCCTTTCTAATGTGCAGTGGCCAGTATCAGCCAAATCAAAAGCTTTGTTTTGGGAGTGGAGTTTTGTCTTTAATATTTCTGTTCATAAACAGACACTAATTGTCAGAAATATAAGTATTCAGTAATTAGTTTTACATTCTAAAGCATTCATAGTGTTATTTAAATAGGCAAAATATTTTTTTGCCTATTACATATAAAAGTGTCTTACATACGCTACTTTTAGTGCAACCAGAGTTGTAATTAAACATATTAGTTACTAATTTCCTGATCTTTTATAATATTTAGTATTCCAGAGACAGAAAAAAAACAGGTCTAGTGAAAATCATTATTCTCAGTTGATCTGCTTGGCTGCATATCTGAGAACAGCACAGAAGAGAGA